CACATCTCTCTCATATCACGTTTTTATAGTGGGGTCGTCAAGGCGGCAAACTTTTATTTGACATTACAATTAAATGTATTACATATGTTGCTAGTGAGAATATTATAAATTTATCTTTAATTCTTGGCTAAGAACTTTAGTGAGATCTTGTTAACTTTAGATGACTAAAGGTGACTGAAGTCCTTACATGGGATCTGAAGAAAAACCGGGTTTCAAAGAATTCCTCAGTGATTTACTGTGATATGACTCTATATTCCGATAGAAAACTTGGTGGGATGGAATTCGTGGAATTGTCTCACAGGAAGATGAAGGAGGATTGCCGCGGAGTGAAGACTATTGGATTGTTTGAAAAAATTCTCGACTCACCCCCCTGCGACCCCGATGAATCTATGCTAGGCTTTTGTCTGTACCACCGTGACAGACATCATCAGAGCAAGAAACCATACTTTACAAAATAAAGCAGAAATATATTAAACCAAGGGAAAAGATGGCCGTCTGCATCTCTAGTCATTTTGTTACACACCTAACTTTGCGATCTTAATGAATCATCCCATGATTTGGTTGGCTACCTCGAACTTACTCTACTTACTTGCAAATGAGGTATGTTAATTTATGAATCGGAAATAGACAGTACAGATGAAAACTTAGCACAGGTTCATTGGGGTCGCAGGAAAGTGAGCTGAAGACTTCTTCGTTCAATCCAACAGTGTTCACGTCACGAAATTCGTTCTTCAGCTTTCAGTGCGACCATTTGACTAATTCCTTCCGACCAACTTTTCCTTCGAAATGCAATGCCATCTCGCAACTTAGGTATGCTCTACCGACAGTTTCGCGATATACTCACTATGCATTATTAGTAGTATTCGTATTAGTCTGAAGTAAGATTTCATATTTGTCGATCACTACCGAATTGGAAGATAAAATTTTACCAAAACTTGCATTTTGTTTGATGAGCTGATCAGACGAGACTATTATCAATCGGCTCACTATGACTTAAAGTTAACGTAACTATAGTAGTATTTGAAGAATAACCATTCGCCACACGCATAACAGTTCTGCTACCAAGATCCATGAAGATGGTCCGTGTGGACCGAGTGGTTCTAGAATGGTTTAGTGACATGTCTGCAAATACCTTTCCGACGCTCTGATGCTATCCACTGAAGCTGTTAGAGCACTTCTGCCACAACATTCGAGCCTTCCCGATTGTAATAATGCTGATATTTGTCGAGGTACACTAGATCAACCTGTTTCTTGGTCTAGAAACAGCGCGCTTGAATCTGCTAAGCGTAGGAGAGGGCTTGCACTTGCTTTAAATTTCCCGTTGCCTTGCATCCCATAAGGACTTATTTGGTCCTGCAAGAGGATGTCTCATATCATACAACTTACACTATTAAACACTGGGCCTAGTAAGCAACTAGTCTACAGCCGTTTTCCTAGAATTCCTGCTGATATCTGTTTTATTCACTTTTGCCTCTTTCAGAGTCGCCTCTCTGTTGTCACTCTCCTGTTCTCAACCTACTCCAGGCCTGCAGATTTTGAGCCCCGACTGAATCGCGTGAGACGAGAACTCGCACATGTAGAAGAAAAGTTACATTTCTTGGATATAATTTCAATAAATCCTGATATACTTTGCTCCGGACTAGATAGTGGAAAGGTGAGAACATCCATTTGAACTTTTATCGCGATAACTTTTTATCACAAATCCTTGATATATCAAAAAAGCTTAGTCTTTCACTCTGGCAGACTCTTCAAAACCGCAAGCTGGATAGACTGTGTCGTTTTTGAGTCTAATTATCTATGATGATAGCTAGCCAGCCCTTAATGTTGATGACAGTGTGATAAGTACGTGAGGGAGGAGTAAACATTCTAAGCCAGACAGCAATAGTAGAAGTTATATAAGGTCAGGCGGTGAAAGATTTCAGTTCGAAAATTGTTTTATATGCACCTCGATTTTCAGATTGCTTGAGAAGTAGGCTTCCTGAGAAGGGGTCTCGGTGAAGAACTGTGCATATACTTATTGAATCCGTCGTAAGAAGTATTCCAAGCGAGATGGGAATTGGCTTCAGGTATGATAAAACTTCACAACTCGTCGAGTTGAACACGCATAAATTTTGGCTCAGCTCGATAGCCTCTGTCATTAAGGCACACTTCCTGTCTGAGCAGCCAAGAAGGAAGAACATCCGTTCTGAGAAGCTACTGTATATTTTACATATGAATTACACTCGCTAAAGCTTACATTGACCTGTCACTGGCCAAATGACTTAAATATCACTTGATAGTATTTATCAGCCCAATACAGTTAATAATTTTTATGGAAATATTATATACTACTTACATGTCGCTCTTCCTAAACTATCACTCTGTGCAAATTCCATCCGAGTGGTTTTTTGAGAGTACTAAGCATTTGTAGTATTTAGTTGAAAAATATAAAATAAAACTTCAAAATAAACAATTGTTTATAGTTTTCACTCTTTCCTATTCAGATTGTTTATCCCTTTCTTTATTCTACGGTGTACTAGGCCTTCCAAGAGATTTTGTCCAGTCTTGATGCAGACATCAGCTACTTGCGCCAGATCGCAAGCCTCTTAGCTGCTCAAAATATAACCGACGAAAATGATGTTCTTTCGGATCAACTGGACGATCTTCTCCGTCAGAAGGTCAAATTGTCTAAAAAGGCAAGTCGTATTCGATCATACTACACGCGACCACTTGTTGTGATATTACTGCATTAATTGTAATTGTCTCGAGGTATACGATACTTTTCCATTAAATTTAACACAGCTTTACGTCCCGAAAGGTGTTTTAATCAAAGCTAGAGTTCAGTTTCGACCTCGCTTGGTTCTTACCAGCTCCCCCAGCGGGTCTCGAACCCGGTTTATGTAGTTTAATGTATAGTTTCAGCATATATTTATCACTACGCCACACCGCCACGAGTGCTTTTCAGTCACAGGGAAGCCCAAGCCTTTTGTATATCACAGTTCTGTTGTGAGATTGTCGACGAAGCAAAGTTATATGTACAATAGCAAACGGCGTAAC